GCCCCCCCCCCAAAACGCCCACGAGGGGCTCCATGCACCCCCCCCCACGGAACAGGCGGCTCCCTAGGGAGCTCCCACCTTCCCGATGTTCCATGTCTTGATCTGCTGCAGCTCGGCCAGCAGCTGCTCGTCACTGCAGCCCTTGAGCTTCTCGATGAGGGCCCTGCAGTCCGCGGGCTGGGGGGGGGGACACGGGGGGGGGCACAGGGCCCGCGTCAGCCCCCCTGCACCCCCCTAACCCCCCCCCTTCGCCCCGCTCCCCCTTTCCTCACCGCCTCCGTGGGGGTTTTCTTCAGCTTAGTCCTGTCCACTTTCATCTTGGCTCGCTCGTCGGCACGCGGCGCCTGTACGCGTGGGTATGGGGGGGCTGTTGAGGGCCCAGGCGTCCGGGTCGCGGGGGGGGGGGCACCCGCACAACACCCTATTGTGGGGCCGGGGACTGCGAGTCCCGGCAGGCACCGGGCGGTGACGTCGCGGCCCCGCCGGGGAACAATGAATGTGCAAAACGGCCGGCGCGGGCACGGACGGACGGACGGACCCGCCGCGCCGGCCGTTCACCCCGGCTCCCCGCGGGAGGGCCGGCTCYGGGGCGGCGGCGAGCGGCGCTTACCGGGAATCAGAGCCAGTCCATGGCCGCGGCGGCGGCGACGCGGGCACCGGCTGCGGGGAAGCGGAGCCGTGAGGGCCGCGGCCCCGCGCCCCCCTCCTCCTCCGGGAAAAACCCACCGGAACGCGCCCGGAATGCGCAAAAACGCAGCGYTCCTGCCGCAAAACCTCGCTTTCTATAGGTCTAACACCTAAATTATCAAAAAAATAAATTAAATAACGAGGCAGGCTTGGGGAAAGGCGGGCACACGGAACGAGCGTCCCCCGGGAGCAGCGTGCGGGGGGGACCCGGGCCGGATGGGGAGGAACGAGCCGCGGCCCCCCCGGTCCCCCCCGCCGCAAACGGGGCCGGGACCGCGGGGCGGCGAGCGGGGCGGGCCTCAGGCCCCGCCGCGGAACGGGCGGGGGGGGAACCTTTAATGCGGGGAACCGGGGCCGCAAGGGAACGGGAGGCGCCCGGGCCCGGCGTGACGGGGCCAGCCCGCC